TATAAGGTACTTTGGGACCGCTTGTTTGTACCCTGACCACAAACCCGTGGTGGAACGGAGCGACAACAACCCTCCTTGATATCGTTCGTCCCCACAGCGACTCAAGCGCTTTCAATAACACTAAGTCACTAGTCAATCCAGGGATGTGAGTCGCTTTGGTCCGTTGAAAAGTGCTTTACATAAGTCAGCTTTTCAACCAATACGTTGGGAGCAAACACTAGAAGTTTAGGTTTTTAGGGTAGCCTGATCAGAAGGAATTCACCAATGACCTAAATTGTATACGTTTGTAATTCCAATGGTCAGTTCAGTAAATTAGCTACGAGATGTTCACGAAGGTGAAGCGAACTCAGGTGGAGAAAGGCGTAAAATCTTCGGATGAAGCAACTGAGTCAGAAGTAAGAGGACACGGACGCAGTAGCACAACTAACGAACGAAGGGGAGTGGTGCACTTTAGAAAGACCCCGTGTACTAGCAGTCGGCAGGCGAAGCAGTTCAATCGGCCGAGTCGGATGCAGTTCTGGTGTCCAGGAGAGGGGAAATTGTGGGCCGCGATAACTGAAACGACGTTCAAAGGACTAGTAGAGTGTGAAGACCCGATTCATACATCTGTGGTTCGACCGGAAGACAGTGTTGTCTACAGGTGCATTCATAAACCAGTTAAGTTGCAGCATAAAACGTATGCCAGTGATTTCGAGGCGATCAACATGGGAGTGACGTTGCTGCGCCCTTCTGAAAAGCGGGACATTAACCGACCCGCCTGATGATAGAACCCACACCTCAAGACACCTGCAATAACCAAGGTAGCATTAGAGGTCCTTTGGAAACCGGAGCCACGAATGTCTTGCGAAAGCGAACATTAACGTAGGACTCCATCTCATTGGGTGGTTATGGTGAAACGAACGCAACTATCGCGATATGCTTGGAGGCAGGTGGATGGTGGTGACCAGCAAAACAGAAACTAAAAATGTTAAGGATAACAGTCCACGAGCTTCCGCAAGTTAGTGGCGGCGATCTTCATAAATCACAAAGAGACCGGTGACATAAGTGGTCTGAATGAGCCTACTATAACTTCCAAAGAGAACGAGAACCAGTACACTCGAAGTGCAATGGAATAGCTAGATTTCGCGATCGTTTATGCTTTGGTTGATTAGTCAGTGGAGCGACAAAATAGTTCGAGACAGTTTGCAGCCCTCCGAAGGGTGACAAACATGACTGCAGCGGTGTTGTCCGATGCAAACCTAGATAATGACCAAAGTGATTGATAAAGTCAACAAATGGGATAAAAAGACTCATATCGTAGTTGTTCGGAATGTTATATGTATTTGAATAACGACATGCAAACTTAGTTCAGTATGCAATACACATCAACACTACTCGAAAGATATGGTGGTTAGTGATTAGGGTATCGGCCAGCAACCGCTAAGTGCCAGGCTCGACTTGGGCGATAATGAGTCACAGCCCACACACAATCGCCGGTGTCCCGGCCAACTATGAAGAGGACAAAAACAGGTCACTGATGATGCCTCCCTTGTTTCTCTCGCACAAAGCGGATTCCAATTAGTTCCCTACTATAAAAGGATACAGCTGCCGTTTGCCACCTGAATCCATGTCATAACAGTGCTCAATAACTACGTGTCACCAAAATGCCTTGTAAAGTCTTGCAAATGTACGCTTTGGCTACGTTCGACGTGCGTACCAAGAAGGAGGCAACACATAGCAATTACACACACACACACACACTGTGTTCTTGATATCAACTTGTACTGCGCTTATAAGTCTATAGGGTGCTCGACCCCCGAGTGCGTATCGAACCAACCGTCCCCTACCTATATATTCGTTATTTGTCGCACTTTTCCGAGGAAGATGACGCAGCAATCACGGACCAAGCTGGAGCTAGCCACTCCAGGGCCAAATCTCCGCTGGTTGACAGGATGCCCATGAAAAACGAGTTGTGCACAGCCATAAGACAGTGCTAACTGAGCGTGATTCACTAGACATCATCGGATGCTACTTACTTATGATTGATGAGGAAACAGAAGCCGACTGCACACATTCTGTTACATAACATGACTTGCGTCACCAAATACTACGTAGTGTAGCGTTCGAAAGGGGAGTTCTAATTGTTAGGGATGAGGGTGCGTGACTAAAAGATCTCTCTCTGAGAGCTTAGTGGGACGGTATAACTCTTGTTGTATGAATATCCACCATTCAGTACAATATTAGTTCAACATCGACTGAGACCAAGCAACAACCCCATGCGCAATGGATACCAATGTGGCATTCGGCATTCACTGCCGCTTACCAGGGATGAACCAGAATATATACACTCGAATCATCAAAAGCTAACTGATCACTTCTCGTAATGTAGAACACACATCGACTCTGAGTGTATCCAATCTATGAACCTAAACGAAAATCATAGCAGTTACTCAGAGTGATGAGCGAGAAACTGTGTGCACATGCCTGGGAAATCTACTAAGACGGCCACGTAATAAGGTCACAGTGACGGGCATTGAGTTTCAGCAAAATAAGAGTTCTGCAGGAGAGCACTTTTACGGTAGCCGGCGTACCGGAAAGATAAGCAAGAATTTTACCGGTAATAAAAATAAAGAATTAGTGAGTTCGAAAACGGAGTAAGCAGAAGCGGTTAGTTAATTCCACCAGTTCTTCTAACTAACCAGAAGATTGACTGTTAATGTGACAGACGGGGACAGTACCTGCACCCGAATTCATATAAAAGAAACCCGTCTAATTCCTTGAACAAGAAACCTGAATGAATATCTCAACTGACCAGTGTATTACGAAACGCTCTATGCACAGGTTGTGAAGATTTAGCTATGGGCAGTATTGATTGAAATTCCTGCGGAATATGAGATTCAAAATTGGTCATATTCTTCAGCCGACTCCAGTTTGCTGATTTGAATGTTGTCGTATTGCATTAGGTCAGAATGGTAGAGTCCCACTAAAAAGAGTAGACACACTCATTTGACCAAATAAGAAAGGACTGTCTCCTCTGGGATATTGCTTTCATGCTCGATTTGGCTTATTTGGTTGGGCCAAGTCGAGCATGAAAGCAATATCCCAGAGGGACTAGTCGAAAGGTTATTGTTAGTTGGACGCCGGTAGTAGCAAAGTTACTGGCTCCGATTTCTGCCCAAAGTATGATTGCGAAACGGGAGTCGCGCAAGCAAGCTTCGAACTGTATGGAGGCGCACCAACCGCATTACTAACGCATGTGCTGGAGCAACGCCACATTTATCGGTGGCAGATTGTTGCTACCTTGAAACAGAACGTACAATAAAGCGAATCGCCTATGTACCATCCAAGAAAGGGGCTCCCAATCGTGCACAGTGGCCCAAGTATAAGTGGCTACCATGTACTTAACTTGAGACAAGTGAAAAGGTGACACGCACAGGCGCCAGTGATGATGTGGTCTACTAGGTAACTCGTTTGATTATAGTGAGCTGCTGAATTATCAGTATGGCAAAGTTGATAATGATGGTGGTGGTGGAATCTGCAGGGAAGTCGTTTCACCAAGGCTGTCTAATTATAGGGCGATGGTAGCTTATTTGTGATAATGTGGTGTTGGTAAGTTGCAAGTGCTTTGACTCGGAAAACTTTTTTAAGTTTCCAGATTGAAATATAGAAAATGACAACGCCGGGTAGAGAACAAGCCAGAAGGAGCAGGTTTAGACCGATTTCAAGACACAACTTAATTTTCTTTATTTGAGGCGTACAAACAGGGGCGAAAACTCCCGCGTTAGGTGCGATCAACGCCTGATATCCATCATTATCGAGAATGTATTGCTGGAAATGAGTACGTTAAACTGCATAGTGAAGAGTAGTTCACTGACGTACTGGCAAGTAGACCGATGAGCCAGTGGAGCTGAGATTAAGTGGTGAGATGCAATTGACATGTTCGGACAGACGGAAAAGGCATGGCAGACAGTCGAAGTAATCCACTCAAGCGCTAAACATTAATGTTCACATGCCCGGACTAACGGTAAGTGGATCGCATCGTCATGTGATTACAGTATGCCTATACTCAAGAAGCCGCGATCCGCCATGCACGAGTTTATAGCAAAATAAACATGCCCATCTTGGAAGCACCGTTTCACTACAGTATTCAACGTAGTCATTAAACTTATGTTTGATTCAGAGACCCCACAAACCCAGGTTCCTGCGTGCAGATTACATTATCCTTCGAAAATCTTTAGTTCAGTAAGCCCATTCGATGGACTAGAACGGTGATGGATGGATGAGGCGTACCTTAAGAGTGCAGTTGTGTTGACGAAAGTCAAAACGCCAAGTGATGATTCCAAAGTGAAACTATGCTTAGCTCCGTTGATCGGTGAAAATTCCCAACATGTAGTCGAACCAAAGTTCTCTGCTTTGCTCGCTCCAAGCAGTACCAGTGCCATGTACGTGAAAAAATGATCCGAGACTCTAAAATATCCATTCTGTTATGATTCCTTTCTGCGTATATGGTGAGAAAAGATGGATATCGCCGCGAGCGGTCTGAGACGGCCAATAGAAAGGGCGATCAAGGGTCTACTAGGATACCAGATTGACTACAGAGTGGCAGATAAACCATGTCGATCCGAACATATGTGTAGTTAGCCCAGTACGCTGGGGTGCGCCGAGTGAAGAACTCAAAAAATGGAAGCGCTGAAAATTCATTAGACATTAACTTACACGAAGTTGAGATACCTCAGAGGGAACTGGTGAGCTAACTCTATGTGTTGTCCCCATTGTGAGTGGGACCAAATACGGCCCCAACACTGATGAATTGGATCCGAAAAACAAACCACCGCCGGTGTGTCAAACCCCTCGAGGGCCGCATGAGTCCCGGTTAAAATGAGGACTGTACACTTGCGGATTGTAGGTGTGCCTGCAATCAGCCGCGTGTTAGACATGTTTGCATTAGAGAAAAATCATAGACGAGCTTGCCCCACAATGTGATTTGAGAAATGCAAAATGTTCGGCTGGAATGAAAACTGGTGATCTTGGAGATTGATCTTGGACGACTGACGTCATAACGTGACTGACACCATTTAAACGCGAGACTATCACTAATTGGCAGGGTTGAGGACGAAATCAATCAGCGAGATAACATGAGCGGTTATTAGTTTGGTGAGAGTAGAAACGTCGTCAAAGATAGAAAGCATGTCGCACACTACAGGGTGTGTTCCAAACTTGTGATATAAAGACTGGCGACCTTTAAACCCCAACTGATAGAAAAAGGCAGCGGGCAAACAGATAGTAAATAATGCGATCGATGGCACCAAGGTGAAGAAAAAGCCGGCAACATTAAAGCGAGACATTATGCGAAGTGACAAGACATGGTAAAAGACCAAAGGAACGAAAATACTGCAAGACCAGAAGCCAAAGACATCACAGGTGAGGATGAAGTCAAGAAGCAGTTCGGAAACCATTGGGGTATCACAGTGACAAAGCAGTGGTAAGAATGCAAGTGGAAGTATGTCATTAGCAAGCCACAATCATTGGGGGAAGATAGACAGTGTCACCCATCCTTCGGTAGTGATTCTTTTACCTTGGCAATCGCCTGCTGCACTTTTTCAAGGTCGAACGATTCGCCGGTGATGCGCTCATATAGGCTCAACACATCGTTGAAAGTACTTTCAAAATGAGTGGACGCGTCATAGCTCGTGGAAACAAACAGCTGGAAATAAAGAAATGGGGGTCGCAAAAACCGTGATATACGTGTGGCCAAACTCAGTAGCATAGTGGTTCGAAAAACGGAAAACGGTGGGGCGAACTTCTAGACCTCAATTCCCATGGGTGACTAGAGGGATAAAAATCCGGGAGCAGAGAAGAGATAAGAATAATCAAACTAGTCCGAGCAGATGACAAAACCTGAAATTTCGAGAACAACGAGACCAGCAGTTGCTTGCAATGATTCATCTTCAGAGTATTACCATCATATGTAGGGAACATAAAAAAGTAGGAAAAGTTGATAAAGGTTGTGGAAAAAATTGCCACTTAATAAATCCAATTTTACGTCTGTTCAACCATACGAAAGAACATCATGCCCAAGAATTTCGCAAGAGGAGTTTAATAAAAAAATTCTCACTTAAGTTTCGAGAGGTTTAATTGCTGCCAACATCAACATTGATGAATCCGATGACAAAGCCACTCCCCGGAATATTAATAGTCAATAAACAGCTGTGGAACCTACTGTGGACTTAAAAGCATCTCAGAACGAGTAGACTTCCAAAATTTCACGTTTTGATTGCTCTATGGCGTCAACTTTGAACATCGCCCCGCAGCAGCGCTACTGGGCAAAGTCACACGCCGACGAACACAAAAAATCCGGACATTGAACTAGACGACGCCACTCAATCAATCCCCTGCAAATGCCCCAACAACCGTAGGAAGCAGTGAACAGTTTTCTAGTAGCAGACGGCTGATAATATTCAACGATTGTAGGCAAGATAACAGGGCGGATCAAATTACGACTCCAAATTGAGATAACACGTTTAAACAGCCATATAAAATGAGAACAAGTAGAAACGAAGACATACCTGGAGGCAGTTTACGGAAACACAACTTAGTACCTGCAGAGTCGACATATGACTGACAGAAAGCAAACTTATAATTTCGTGCAACTGATGTTACACGAAGAATACGCAACTTACTGGTTGCAAAAATAGACATTCTAACATCAGTTATCAAGCACGGATTATAAGTGAAATGCTTCCAAACAGCGCTTCTGGAAAGTTTAGGCACTACTTTAACCATTACCCTACGACTGTTAGCAGAGTTCGCTTCTATCATCCCGTTCATCCATGAACCCCATAAACATGAATACGCCTTCTCTAGCAATTGCTCAGTGACCGCAGCGTGTTGCCCAGTTAAGTACGTCAACAATGTTACACTATAGACGAATTACCACAGGAAGTGTGGCTATTATGCGTTGAGGACCAAACGTTCTGACGCAACAAATTTCTACAAAAAACCAACAAGCCCCTACCTCGAGGTGACATATGTCAAGAACACTGTGCCACCATTGAATATAATGAATCATGTCACCTTGTGGGTCGTCAGGTTTGTGGAATTCACTACTATGCCGTGAGAGATAAATCCCTGTATATGGATTCAGCCTGGTGGATGAAAACCCGACAAGAACACCTCAATATCATAAAGCTGCCGTTAATTTACTCCCAAGTCCCCAGTGGAGAACACATTTTTTAACCCCAACCGCACCCGGCCACAATGGTTTTCTTGAACCCCACGCCACATCCTTGACTACCGCTAACCATTTAATATATGACTCATCGATATATATATATATATATATATATATATATATATATATATATATATATATATATATATATATATATATATATATATATATATATATATATATATATATATATATATATATATATAGACGGGCCGCTATATCGATGAACTTGGGAGTAAATTAACGGCAGCTTTATGATATTGATTTTTTCACTTTCACACACACCGTTTTGAGTTTGTTTTTGGTCTTCATGTTTTGTTCAAAATTAAAAATTACATGGTGAGGAGATGGTAGAACAGCATCGAAGCCACTGACTCCTATTGCGGGCCATATCCTCCAATACTTCCAACCATTGGGAATCCGCTTCACGTGGTCTTAAGCCTGGGTGATGCACGGATCCAACTGACGCTAAACACAAAGTCAGAATCTTCAGGCTCCTTTTTCGGGTCATTGGTTGTCTGCCGCGGTCCTTTTTCCATTCGCGTCCAGGAAGTGCAAATAATGCGCGAAGTGGAAGGCGGTGGGTCGGCATAGGCAGTAATGACCGAACCAACGCTAGTGTTGACGGATGATTATGCTCTGGAGACAAGGACTGTCCGCTCCCATGATCCTGCTCCTAACTAACTCACATGGTGTTGCCACAATACGCGAGCAACTGAACGGAAGCAGCGGTTGTCGAAAGTAGACAGTCATCTCAAATCATCCGATCGAACAGGCAGGGCTTCTTTGATCATTTGGCGCGATCGAAGGATTATGCGAAGACCTGACCTGTACTTCATTTAGACCTTTAAAAGTCCTTCGACGAAGTCTCACAGAGAACACTTATATAAAAATTTCGCAACAGTGGTACCACTGGCTCACTACAATCCTGAGTAGAAGGTGACCTCCGTGTTTAGAAGCAGACAATAAACAGTGGCGGTTGTCTATCAAGAACAAGAGAGAATAATAATGGCATGCCACAAGGTAGAGTACTGTGCCCTTCTTTTCTTGATATTTCTAGATAATTTATTTTCTGTAATAAAAGACTGAAAACCTTACCTGGTAGCACAGTATACAGAGAACTTTTGAGTCACCGAGTCTCAACGTGTTTCTCTTACATAGGTAATCCAAAGAGACTTGGTCTCATTAAAAAAGGTGGTATGTTTAATCTTCCATAAAATTTTCAACATCAAAGTGCAGCAACATATGCTGCGGATCCCGGGTTCCACTGAGGAGTTTGGTATTGCGTGAAATTCCACTTCCTTTATATGAATCGATCCACGACTTAGGCGTCCGTTACTCAGGTTCGTAGAATTTCAAGGAAGAATTTGAGTATACGGTGACTAAAACACGACGCACGATGATAGACCAGTTGTTTATAGCAATAGAAGATAAATTCCTGTCATTCAGTCTACACGCCAGGCCATTATTAGAAGACTATGCCACCATTTTCAGTGACCTTACAAGAGTAGACACGCGCGCAACTGGAGCGACAAATGGAAGTCACTTACGAAAAGACTTGCGGGTTACACAGCAACACTCCTCACTTTCCAGGAGTTTCCCTGTTTATAGATACTTCGAAAGCTTACTTGTCCTTTTCGACTGCTTATACTAAGTGAATGGGACAACCATCGGACTATATCTCACACTAGGGAGGCATACATAAATCACTCATGGTTGTGCCATACAATTACTTTACATTTCTTTTCGTTCCATTATTGGTCAGAACTGGACAGATCTCCTGAGATGACCTACTGGCGAGAAAATAAGGTGCCGGATTCAAATGAATCGGACGGGATGGACAGCTGCAGTGCTTGTTCCCTGTACCTATATAACAGCAGCGCGAAAGATGAGTTGATAAAGTGTTGGCTTATTTGCGTCATAGCAACATCGGCATACAGACACAGTCAGCTTGCTTAGAACTGCAGCCATAAAAATGAGTCATGATGACGGCTTACTTGTTTTTAAACCACACCAGAACATGAACAGATGAGGCGTGAAAGCGCGGATGAGGTACTATAGCTCGCATGGAAACAGATCCCCAAGAGACGATTCTCCACAGATGGTCGTTTTTTTACATTACTTGAACCGCTGACGACTATACCTACATTTATTCCTACTCGCTGCTTATATACGAGTTGTTATTGCCCCTTTAAGAGAACTACCTCGAAGAACAGGAAAAAAACTTTACCATCCGATTTTGTGTATAGAATGATGTCTACACACTATAATTATCGTGGTGATGAAAGTCACGCTAATTGCGCTCACCTTAAGTTTGATAGGCTGAGTTGCCTGAAGCAGCGTGCAACGCCGCCTGGAACAAGAAACAGTAACACACAAAACTCGAACCGACAACAGACGTCTCAGATGGACGAGAGTCCACGGAAACAAATTCAGTTCAACAGTATGTTGTAACGAACTGGAAATTGGCTTACCTTGGCGTTTCGTCCATCATCAACTGGTGCCCACAAGTCGTCCACCGAGTAGAACACTTGGTCCACAGTTCCAAGCAGATCGATCCCTGGTTTCAATTCATCATGCGGCTTGTCGGTTTCCACAGTAGTGGCCAGAAGAACGAGGAAAAATCCCTCAGGACAGACCATGTGAGTGTGGGACAGATAAGAAACGTAGATGTCTAGCAGCAAAAACAAAACAAAACAATGAGAGATCAGTAAGGGTGATAGTAGTTTGCAGTTACTCTGAACTATTCCTGGGGCTCTCAGTCTGGTTACACAAATCACCTTGCAGTTTTTTGTGAGATATGGAAAGGGGAACCTGAATAAAACGATGTGACAGTACAGTCACACTTTGTGAAAGTCGACTGAAGAATGAGACATGGATGGCAATTGAAACGATTTAAGTCGATGGCGCAACAACAGTGCAGTAAGGATGAAAAGGAAAGTCATGTGGCGCAAGGTGGTAATAGCTCTCCAGTGTGTGCAAACGATGTAAAAATGAATTCGCATTGTTACCCAACTCAAAACACACCTTACCGAAAAGGAATAACAAAACTTCAAAAGCTCGAGGTGCTCTTGTGAATCTCCGCCACTTGTAACGCCGACGCGACATCACTCTCGCTGTGAAAGGCAGAGTTTATAACGCAGCCGTCTGTTCAACCCTTCTGTACGGTTGCGAAACCTGGTTCATCAGATCGACAGACATAAAGAAGCTAATCACACTCGACCATTGATGCCTCCGCAACTTATCCCATGTCTGGTGGGAGCACCGCGTGAGCAATGAGCGTGTTCAGCGTCACGTATTTGGTGCAAGAAGAGCTAATGAAGCGCTCAGCACCATGATATCACGCACCAGACACTGATGGGTGGGCCACGTGTTGCGCATGCCAGCACACCGACTCCCACATCGTGCGTTGTTTGCGTGCCGGGGGTGCGGATGGAAGAGAAGCAGAGGAGGCCAAGCGATGACTTGGTTGAGAGAAAGGAAAACCCTCACTTCGAAGTTGGCGTCGCTTGGTGTATGCCGACTGCTTGGCTGCGGTCCCAAGGACGCTGAACACGTTTGGTTGGACACACTTGCTGATATGGTGAAGAGCTGGTCTCAATGGCGTGTTGTGAGTTTCTTTGTCCATCCCCCTGCTCTTTAGATTCCCCATCCAATTCCGATCTCATACGAAATGCATAATATTCCATTCAAAATCATAGTAATTACTTTTTGAATTCTTGTTAGTGTAACTTTCTAGCGTCTTATTATTTTTGAATGCGGTACCTTAGCTGAGATATGTTTATCGCTTTCAGCTAACCGTGTACTAACGATGATTATGATGATGAACAAAATGATCAGTTTAAATGAGAGAAAACCGAACGGCATGGGAACAGTTCCACGTCTGTACGGATAGCTTAAAAGTGGGACATAGGCGAAACAGGATTCCGGTGTAGCATTATCAAGTGAACTGACACCAACATTGCAATGGTGAATTTAAATAACGACTGTCACGACCGTACAGCCGTATTGATTGGGCATCAACAGCACACCGGTACGCAGTACCGACACGTCACTGCAGCGGAATTACCACTAGTCGCGAGTGGGCTGAGAATACTACGAGGATCGCCTGGTCCCCTAGGCGGGCTCGAAACTAAGTACTACGGACTACAGGGCATGCTTGTGATCCTCAAGGCCACACGCCGGTGAGTATATCTCGCGAATACTCGGAACTACCCTACATATCCCAGTGGCTCTTAGTTTGTCTCTTGGCCACACATGAAACAGGACGCTCTCAGAAAACCGATATATAGTTCGACTGAGTGATCTATTGCACTAATTAGTCAATTGGTTTTCCAATATTAAGAAGTATAGCCTATTTACCAACAAGGTTAATGATGAAACGAGATCACGGGGAACAAAAATTCCCAAGGATTTGGGCAATTGAGTAATTTTCCCTTTACCAAAGATGATGGACCCCCACCAATACGAAACAAAAATTTTAGCGACAATCACAGTCAATTTACAAAAATAAACGCATTTCCAATGAGCAAAAGTATTAGAAAATGATAGATAGAACGTGAGCCAAAGACAAGAGCATCAGCTGCGGCTGTTGCAGCCCAGAGTCCGGTGACTCACCGTGCTTCCGACCGCATTCGTAGGATGGAATGATAATCTGTGCCGAGAGACAATTTGGCAATTTCTCTATCGGGTGATTCAGAATACAAATTGCCCGAATAACCTGAGGAGAAAAAGCAAACAAAATTGAAGACAAGCGTTAGACAAGAAGAAGAAACACTATAGACCTAGTAAGGACACACTACTGTCCGAGGGTGCTTTCCAGATGGGTTCCGAAGAAGACACCAAACACAGTAGAAGGAGCACAACTTCCAACAGTTGTGACCGAGTATTCTATTAAACCGTAAGTTTATTGCTCCGCTACATTCCAATGGTTGTGAGAATTCAACTTAACCCGAGGTCAATAAGGAAGAGAGTGGATACAGCAGCCTACTACAGCAATGATTGTAGGACGGATGTTGACCAGTCCAAAAAATTTCGCTTTAAAAAGTTGCTGCTTTTAGAATGGTGTCAGTAGTATTCCTCAAGATGCATAAATGATGATGAGGAGCCGTCTAAAGCCTGAAATTTGGTCCTTGTGCTACCACTGTACAAAAGCAAAGGTAGCAAGCAACGTTGCACAAATTATCGTGGCATCAACTTGCTGAGTTGTGTGGGCAAGATGATTGCCCAAATCCTGCTCAACCGCCTCGTGAGTCAGGTTGTGGAACCTAACGTGGCGGCAAAGCAGCGTGGATACCGTTCGGGTCGCAGCACTATAGATATGGTGTTTGCGGCCCGACAGTTGCATGGGAAGTACAGACAACGATACCAGCCGTTGTACTCGCTTTTTATTGATTTCAACAAGGCATTCGATACGGTGAACCGCGAGGCATTGTGGCTGGTGTTGGGTAAGTTTGGTTGACCGCGTAAGTTTGTAAAGTTAATTGAATGTCTGCACAGTGGTATGCGAGCGAGGGTGCAGCTGAGTGGAGAGACCTCGGATGACTTTGCAGCTGTCTCTGGTGTGAAGCAAGGCTGTGTCTTAGCTCCTGCCCTGTTTAATATATATCTTCATGCAATGACGTCTTGTGCTTTTGATGCCGCTTGTGCTTACGGTGTTCGTGTGGAGCACCGTATCGATGGTGGGTTGCTGAACATCCGTCGTTTCGGTGCGAGAACTCTAGTCTGTGAGACAACTATCCGTATGTTGCTGTTTGCTGACGACTGTGCGTTGTTTGCACACAGCGCGGATGAGTTGCAGCACATGACTAGTGCTCTGGCTTCGACAGCGGCCAAATTCGGGCTCACCAACAACACAAGCAAAACTGTCTGTCTCTTTCAGCCTTCACCGGAGGTGTAATCTTCAATATTGCCGAAAATCAGTATTGGTTACGAAGTACCAGAAACCACCTCCCGCTCCTGCTACCTTGTGAGTGGGATGTCGACTGACCAGCAGCTTCACAGTGAGGTTTGTATCCGCTTCTTTAAGGCAGCGGCGGTATTCCGGTAGCTAGAGTACCGAATGTGGAACAACAATCAGCTTACCGTTAGCACGAAGCTGATGGTGCACAAATTCATGGTGCTGTCCGTTCTTTTATACGGAGGTGAAATGTGGACGATGCACCGGCGAGATGTGAGATATCTCGAGCGGTTCCATCAACAGTGTTTGAGACGTATTCTGCGCATTGGTTGGTGCGACTGAGTTGCGGACACGGAAGTGTTGCGCCGAAGTGGAATGTATGCAGTGGACTGCATACTTCTGCTGCGGCACCTATGGTGGCTGGGGCATATCAGCCGAATGAATTCAACAAGCATACCGGAACAGCTTCCGTACGGCCAACTTCGTGCAAACAAGCGGCACGCTGGCAAACCAAAATTACCTTACTGAGAGATGATGAAGGTTTGTGATGTGCTAATGCTGATTTCAGGTGCTGGGAATCAAAGGCAGTTGATCGGCGCGATTGGCGTGAGCTCAGCAAGAGGGTGGTTGCCCCAGATGCAGAAAGCATTATTGCACGCGGAAGAGAAACGACGTGTACGGAAGCGACAGACGCCGATGGAGTCTACCCCATCGATATCAAGCACATGATGATGAAGCACATGCGGTCGCGAGTGCCTGAGCCAAGAGGGCCTCGTAAGCCACCAGCGTAGCCATGTGGTTCCAGCCTCTAAAAGGTGGCGTGTCAGCTGATTATCTAATCAGCATCGGCGAAGGGTTCGGAAGTACATTGCGTCCGCTTCCATTTGATTTACTAACCCAGGCCAATAAGGCGTTTGATGTGGTACATGCGTCTGTGTGCTGAGTTTCTTGCATTTCAATTGTTGCCTGATACCTACGGTGTGGCTGCGCTTGACGTGAATGTTGACAAGGTATCTACCTGGCTATTACCCACCACCTCAGCTATACTGGCTCCACGAGACAGCTGGTCGTTGCTGGAGGGGACGGAGTGCATCGTCCTCGTGGCGGTGCATCCAGTGTGGTATGGGCTATGGCCTAACCATCGTCTTGTGTACGTCTGGTACGCATGATTTCCCATTTAGACTTCTTCTACTCCACTTATTGAAAGAGTGTGGGCCGGCTCTGCTGATGAAACCTGGCTACCATCCACATGCCTCCGTCTTATTCCTTCGAATTCACACTGGATATCGGGTGTGTGGACGGAACTCGGGGTAGTGAAGCGCAGGCCACTCATGGTCACTAGGTAGGCGGAGTGATACAGGGGCTGTCCTATAGAGGACGCAATCACACACAAAGACGAAGTTGAATGCCGCAAACCATGTAGCTGCGTTGCTTTACTTTGTAAACGTGACGCTGCGTTAGTGATTGTGTTCGGTAGAGTCGTCAAGAAAGAAAAGGCCAAAGGGAATCTTTGAATTGGATGACTGGCGCCAGTGAATTTGGGGATATCATCCGGTTAGGCAAGAAGAATTGGCTGAATTTAGTCGTCATACACATTTGCCACGTCGCAGTTTTGTTAAGCAGACATTTGGTCTCCGGTGTTCAGGCAAGTGATGCCCATCGACCGGGCTGTAACAAATTGCGCACGCTGAGACATGTCAATCTTAACGAAGATCGAGGGCTCCAAATAGAAGTGGGTGAACTGAAGTTGTCCACTTGGTTGGATATTGACTTGTAGACTGAGTCGCTGTGACTTCCTGTGAAACTAGGACAAGGGAGTGGATATTTCAAATTTGGAGTTAAAGAGAGGGTTTGAAAGTGAAGTTGGGACGGGACGATAAACATGGAGTGGTGTAAGAGGAGGAATAAAAAGACGGAAGGATTTGAACAGTGGCAACCAGCTTTATTCACCCCCTTTCGATGCAGCAGATAGGACGCCGTCGATTAACCTCTGGGACAGCCAGAGAATCAAGAAACTGTGAAGGTTTCAATGTATTGCATTGGTAGGGGGTACTATCAGGTTTCGCAAACCTAGCTAGAGAACGAGTATATTTCGTGACTAGACTTTAGTTCAAGAAACTGACCGGAAAGCAGCAAGAGTTCGGTAGCGGGCTACAGGGAGTTCATTCTAGGGATAAGGAGCCAAGCCCACCCTATCCTAGAGGACGAGGAGGCTGAGTGTGCCTGATGTCCAAACAATGACCAGTCTAGTATGTGTGACTAGAAGTGCAAGAAGCACTACCCATTAAAGCTCAATGGATCGTTGAGGCACGCACCATGATTGGATGCACCCTCACTGCAATAGCGGTGATATTTTCCGGTGTATCGGTAAATGGCTCTTAGACAGAATGCACGTCGGAAACCGCAGCCATGATTCGTTAGTCAAGCTTGCAATGGTACGCACATCGCGAATACCACAATGGTTCATTGATAACATGAGGCAACATACGGTTGTTTTTCATTTTGTCAAAATATTCCCTAGTGTTATGGACGGACTTCACGAATTCCTCCGTGATAGACACCAAACAGAATGTGAGCCGACGCAATGAAAAGACCAAGCGGTGTCGAAAAGAGGAAAACAAAAATGTTAAACGCCGACAACTAGGTATGAATCGCACCGTTCTCTCGCAAACCGCTAGGCATGATGTACGTTGACCCCAGTAATAATGGGTACGTTTTAAACTAGCTAAAAGTAGCAACGTACGGTTTTTTAGAGGATTTTGAAGATATGGAACGAAGTGAGACTATAATATGCATAAAAAGTGGCCAAAGGGAGACAGAAAATTCTGTAGGTTATAGAAAAGTAGCCGGAACTACAGTAGCTTACCTGCCCAGTTTTCCGTACGTTATCTGGTGCGTAAGTAGGAGAACAAACGATTGCACCGCATCTCACTGTTTCTTCGCCGGATCGGAGACCGACTACCTTTCCGTCCTCGAAAAGAATTTCGTCGACTGGCTTGTTTAACATATAAGTTCCACCATGAACAGCGCTGAGACGCGAGAAGGCCTGGGGTAATTCTCCCAATCCGTACAATGGATAAACATACGGAGATTTGCCATAACGAGTCACAGATTTGCTGTACAGTTGAATGCGATCAATAACCTCAGCGGCAGGTACGCTGTCTTTGTATGATGCATCCGGATACAGGCAAACAGCATGTCCTATGAAACTCTAAAAATGAAAACAGACACTCAAGGTGAGACACAAGCTGTGAATGAGTGGTAGGAAATGAAGGTCATATGAAAATCACCCTACAAAAACCTACGAAGCTATTCGTGAGTACAGTGGTACCTTAATCAAGGGGTGTCAGGTAGACATAGCAAATCCCATATCAAGTAAAAGCGGAAGCATATATAATAATCAGTCCACCTTGACAATGATATACTTTGCGTGTGTGAATCCCGAGTGGATTCAAAGATCTATAAAGCTAAGAGGAAATAGAAGAGACCCAGACTGTGGTCATAACTATAAGTTCGGATAGGAAAACAAAGTAAAAAGTGCTGCAGTGTGCACGTAAGTGAATGCATAGTAGGAATAAATCGGAGGCGGAATAACTGATAAGTAAAAATGCAGCCGAGCCAGTTACAGTGATGCACCTAAAATCAGGAACAACATATGGAAATGGCACTCAATATAAGTATATATCGTAAATACAACTGAGGTGGACAATTCGCACTCCATGCATACGCAACAAAGGTAGAAAAACGGAACTTGGTACGCGCGCGGTTTGAAACTTTGAAAAACCTCCACCTGGAAGTTTTTGCCTTCAAATTTGGCTTGGAAGCGTATTCTAAAAAGACTGAGTGAAAAATTTACTCTGTTCCATCAATTATTTGATCGCTGTCATCAAGCCAGATTCCTTTGGCGGACGGTCCCGACTCGACCTAATCCTTTCGCAGTCCTAGACGCTAACCAGCTACCACTCGCCTCTTGTGTACCGTTTCCCATTTGGCAAAAGCGGATTTACTATATTTGCCTTGTATTGAAACCTAGTTTGTCACAACACTGAGGATGACACTTGATTAGTCCATCTCTGTGTGATCTAAAAGGGCTAAGAAGTGTCCACTTTATCGGAATCTGTCCTGTCGCTGATCTTCGCGTCAAAAATATCGCTGGAAACGTGGTTTTGGCAAAATTTCATGCGAATAAACTTGGTCTTTGTTCCGTTGTTGTCACCGAGAACTTTGATCATTACCTGTCTTCTGACCACTGGATGTTATCCAGCTACCTCTCGCCTCTTATGCGCTGTTTTCCATTCGGCAAAGGCGGATTTATTTGAATCGATTTTTGGGACCTGCTCCGTGTGGTTGAACTGATCAGTGGATCTTCAGTTATCCTTGTATCGGTGTCTGCTCTCTCGCAAAGATCCTGTTTTTATATCCTTGGATTCCACTTCGGCTTTGTGACTTGATGAGTCCATTTCAATACACTCGTGTCACACTTGGTATTTCCGACTGGTGCTCTGGTCATTTGCATAACCTGACACCGTAAAGCGGTTCACATCTTTACTGCTTATCTATTACATTCAATTCCTTCTCTAAACCCTCTCCGTCGCGATGGTTGTCCAGCGCTGCTTAAACTCACCGTATCCTCTTTCCGACGACTCTATGGTCATGTGTGGCAAAGCGGGGTGTCTAGAAGCGGTTACAGATTTGTCCGAATGCATGCAGTGCGATATCTGTGACCGTTTGTTCCAGTAGCGAAAGTTTACCGTTGTAGTGACCGTTGTGTGTGCAGGACTGAGCGTTAAATGCCAGCAAAGAGCAGTCCTGTTTCTCTGGAAAGTTTGCTGTCTCTGATTGTCTCGCTAGACAGGAAAGTTAAATGGATTGTGAAGGGCCTAGAAGGCTCAGGTCTTCTCTGTCAGGTGACAGTAGAAGACACTGGCAAGTTGTCAGACTCTGTATCTGTTTGTTAACCGTCAAATGTCAACATACCTGTTGGCAACGAACCCTCATATAGTGTGATTTGGCTGTTAGCGAGGGAGAGCAGCAGGTCTCTGCCCTTGTCAAAAGAAAGCGAAAGAGGGCTAAAAAAGCGGCAGAAGCCAAGGCAAACGTGAGAGGTCCGTCGGATGCCTTATCCCAACTCCCCTCAAATTCTACTACTACGGAATCGTTACAGCTGGAAACATCTAGGACATTAGAGTCTATAAAAACGGACGCTAAACTGAAAGCACCGACGTCCATGGAGCGTTCGGTAAATACTCCGGCTTCCCCGGCGTGACTGTGCGCAAACTAACCAGACTCGGTAACTTGCCAGCTGACAAGTCTCACCATCAATTGTTGCGAGTTATTCTGTCCACTCCGGAGGAGCGCCAAGCATTTCTGCGTTTCAACTTTAAGCTCAAGAGCACTGGTATCATTTTGCACCCAGATCTTCCATTGGTGGATAGGCTGAAATTGCGGGAAGCTGTGAGAAACCTCAATGTCCGGCGGGAAGCAGGAAGAAAGGGTCTGCACTTCGGGGGTTTTCGGGTGGTGAGCCGGCGGGCCACTTCCGTCCTACCAGAGCCGGTTCTGGTGGAGCACGATCCCGGATTCACAATGCTAAATCTCTTCAGATGATCTTAAGCCATGTGCGTAGCTTGTGAAACAAGCTGTGCGAAGTCAGCGACCTAGTTGACGACTGCCGTCCAGACGTTCTCGCATTCACTGAAACGTGGTTGTCCACCGACGTCACGGAGAATGAAGTGTGCTTGCCAAGCTACGCACTGCTGAGGTGTCACCGTACCTCTGATCAGCGCGGATGAGGCGTTGCTTTGTACGTTAACTCCGCACTAACTGTCTTCAAGATGTATAGTTTCCGATCACCAGACGGTGAGGTTGTGGCACTCGCAGTTAACCTGTGTATTACCTCCGCGCAACTTAGAGTTGCGCTAGTCTATAGAAGCCCCGTGTCTCGTTGATTTCATCCGCGAACATTCGGCAAATAGGTGTTCAGTGATGAGTGACTTTAATCTTCCCGACGTTGACTGGCAGCATTTTTCCTGCGACGCTGTTACAAGGTGTTTGGCTACCGAGCTTCTCGATCTGGATTTGCATGCTCCCCTGCACCAGTTTGTCGATCGGTCTACTACATTCATGATGGGTCAAAACCCGTCCCTCTTGGACTTGATCTTCGCTAAATCCATTGATTTTGTCACGGATATTGTATACAACCCACCTCTCGGTGCTAGCGACCACGCACATCTCACATGTAAGTGCGCCCGTAGTCGTCAGACTAATGATCGTCCCGACCGAGTTCCAAACATATGGCGCACGGACTTTCAGACAATGAAAGCCAAGGCCGCAAAGTCGCCATGTGTCATTTTGGAAGGTGACGACATTCAAACGGCCTGGGACAGATTTAAATCATACTTGAGTGAGCTGTCTCTGGCAGGAATAAAACTAGGGCAAAGCCACCCTGGTTTGATTCAGCTGTACGCAAAAAAATTAACAGACGTGCTAGATGTCGGCGTACTTACTTATCTGCTCCTTCATCATGCACCTTCAAGCGCTACCGTCACGCTCAAAACGCCTGCAGGCAGCACCTACGAGGTGCTCGAATAGAGCATGAAGTAGAGCTTGCTCGTATAGCCTCGTCAAACCCGAAACGCTTCTTCGCGTATGTCAAAAGGCGAAGCAACATGAACTCGTGCATCCCAGTGTTGTTTGGCCCTGAAGGCACTGCTTCTGTCACAGATCACGGAAACACTTGTTTGCCCGGATGACAGCATGCCGGGGTTTATGTTCGAGAGCCGCAGCTGCCGCATATCAGCCTACAGGCAAAAACTCCTGAGGGCTCTCAGTTGGAGGAGGTTTCCATAACAGAGACTCATGCTCCGGCTTCTGAGGCAATTAAATCCCAATAAAGCTGCCAGTGGGGATGCTATTCATCCTAAACTGTTGTACGAGTTGACTGACGAAGTTTGCCCTCCGATTACACAACTTTTTGTGAATTCTACGCAGCTGCTCTCTACCCAAAAACTGAAAGGAGGCTATTGTTTGTCTCAATTTTAAGTAATGTGATAAGCACCTCCCTGATAAACCGGTCAGTTTGACGAGCGTGTTAGTCAGGTTGTAGGAAAAACTCGTAAAGGACGCTCTCGAAGGACACTTGAAAGCGTTTGAGTTGCTTAAGCCTTCTCAGCACGGCTTTCGTAAGGGCTATTCTTGCCTTACTAACTTGTTAACAGCTCGTGAACACTGGGCTGAAGCCGTTGATTGCTGGAAGGCACTGAACGTGCTGTTCAATGCCTTTTCCAAAGCTTTTGACACCGTTCCACACTCGCGTCCTTTGTACAACCTGAAGTCTTACTGTATTTCTGGACCAGTCTTACGATGGATTTCAGCTTTCCTAATCGGAAGGGAAATAGGTGTGCTGGTGGGTTCAAGCCTGTTTTTCCGAAAATGTGTTCTCAGTGGCATTTCGCAAGGTTCAGTCCTTGGCCCCCTTCTCTTCATTTTATGCTTTAATGACCTACCCAATGAATTGGGTGTGCCATCCCTAATGTTTGCGGATGACTTGAAACTCTGGTTCACGATAGACGATCCGATTGGTCTACTGACCCTACAGAGGGCTCTGAATAGACTTTGGGACTGGTCCCTTTTGTGGCAGTTGCCCATTAATTTAGCGAAGTGTTCATTTTTACGCGTTGGTCCGAATAACCAGCCGACGCGTTATTTTCTTGGCGGCAACGAGGTACCGCGAGTTTAACTCCAATCTGACCTCGGAGTTTTGCTGTCACTAGATATTAGGTCCAGTGAACAATGGATGATCCGCAAGTCATTCGGAATCATGACCACCGAAATGTTCGTCAGAATATTTTCGACTTTTGTAAGGCCGCACCTGGAATACTGCGTTCAGACTTGTCATCCATGCCTGGTTCGTGATAAGATGGCAGTTGAACGAGTCTTGCGGTCCGGGAGGAAAATGGTGCACGGATTAAAGAAGCTGACGTACCCGGAGAGGCTACGTAAGTAAAATATGTTTTCCATGCATTACAGGCGGCTTCGGGGCGACTTGGCCCTCACATATCGTATACTGATGGATCAGATTGGTCCTGATTTGACTGGACTGTTTCACCCAACCCGAGTGCCAACCCTTCGTGGTCACCCCGGTCTGACCGGGTTTGGGCAGCTTTTCGGTTATCCCGTAAGGCCAAAGCTTATTGGAACGCACTGGGTGCAGACCTCGTGATGG